ATTGTCCCTGTCTCGTCAAGTTTTCCAGCTCCGGGTGGCGTCTACATTCGTTGGTAGGGATACCATTACCCTGTCCTTTCTCGTGACTGACAAATTCCTTCACTCTTTTGATCCTGTCGGATCTGGTATGTGCTCTCCCACTTCAATGAGAAATGCTCTTCGCATTGGCTGGTGATTGCTCTCTGTGAGGGAAGCACGCTGTCAGCTCTGAATGGTACTTGGTGTCCCTGGGGCATGCTTTGCCGGCCGTGCGTCACCATGGGGCCAAGCTAGGCGCGTCAGTCTTCAACAGACCCGTTCTGTGACGCCGTTCTGGATAGCTGGCCGGGCTCGCATGGCCGCCACACGCACCCAGTTGTGCCGCTTTTTTGTCGCGAGTCGGCTTGCTAGCATGCAGGAAATGCAGGATGCGAATCACGTGCCGACAGTGGTTCGAGTCACCGTGGGCTTGCTGCTTAATGCCAGGTGCGTTGTCTTGATCCTGCTGTGTCGCTGCAGTCCCCCGCAGTGGGTGAGTCCTTGGGGATACTCTCCTCCTATGGACGCTGAAGGGTCGTGGTGGGACATCCGTGGAATGTTTTCATCTGCGAAGACTGATTTTATGGCAACATCTCAGCCAAGTTTGGGTCGTTTCAGGGCTCTTTGGTTTACACTTTTACGCAAACGGTGTAATAAAGGACTGGGCAGCATTACGTTGTCTTAGCAGGATTGTTTGTGACTTGACTGTTGTGGGGATCAAATAGGTTTAAAACAGGGCAGGGTCCATCTCATTTCGCTGCGCTTCTGTTTTGATCAACAACGCTGTTTAAAACTGTTTTTGAAGCCTTTGTTTTGATCAACACCGTCTTTAAAATCCGTCAATTCAACATAGCGTATGGTATGTGCAGTCCTGCAGAACGAGTGTCGTAGATCACGGCAAATCCACGTCTTGTCGTTGCATGTGATGCCGCCCGGCGAATATTAGGTAACATGATGCTTACTGCTATGGGCAAATATAGTGTTCAGAACATGCATCGATCCGTCACGTCACGTGAGGTATGGAATGGAGAAATAACTCATCCTTACTATTAACCCTCACCCCGCCAGCGGTAAGAGGCCCTCTAAGCGCTCTCCGGAATAATTCATGAATGGTTTCGAGCTCGATGCGGATTTTTTTGGTACGAGCTTGTTTCTACACATGCTGTGCACATCTGAGGTTGTAACCTGAACGTTTAGCTCATTACTCATGATCTCTTCCACCATTATGCCGCCGATATTTTGCTCTTGAAGGATGAATAAAGCTGTTTTTTTCCAGAAAATGCGCTTGAAATATATTTGCTAGAAGAGCAGGTCTTCCGTGATCAACCTAGATGGCACTTTGACCTCTGACATGCATGAGTGCAAATTTCAACTTTCCATTGCCCCCTTTAGAACATCCGTGAATT